TTGCAGTCACATTTTCTGAAACCCTGCCCAGTACCAAGGGATTGTTTTATTGCTGTTTGACGTAAAGATATTTCTACAGCAGGGACATCCATCTTCTTTCGTTAAAAATCTCTCTTTGCAAACACTGAATTCAGATTTTGCATACAATTGTTTTAAAATACCTGTTTTAGTATCAAGTTTATAAAAGCCATCCTCTGTTTTACTAAGAACCACAGCTAAAATTGAACGTGCATCAGTTTTTGCTCTGTCTTCTTCGGGTACTTTAATTCTCACAGCGAAACCTTCATCGACGTTTGGGTGCTTTGCATTAGAAACTGCTAACATTTTCTTTGCTTGCTTTTCTAAACATTTCTTGGCTTCATCACGCTGTATTTTCTGATCCATATTCTTTTTACAGATGATGCACAATACATTCTTACCATACCCTTCCTCTTTAGGATCTACTTCACCACAAACTGCGTGAACAAACATATTACACGATTTACACTTGTGAGCACTTGATGCTGCTTTTGAGCAAACAATACAGACTATGTCTTGTATAGTGCTCTTTACAGGCTCCGTACGAAACTGTGATGGCGATTCTGCTGAAGTTGAGAGTAACTCAGTGATGACTTCTTCAACTTGCAGAGGCGATTCCTTGGAGGTGCAGGGTAACTGAATATTCTTCGTGACTGCATCATCAATCAACGGTATAGAAGGCAGTTTAAGATTACTATCGGTAAATTCTTGTATTTCTATAGGTGATTCTGTAGAAGCGGGGGATAACGGAATGTCCTCTTGAGTAAGATTTGACTGTGATCTCATAATCACAGTCTCTTGTGAATCTTCTAATTTTTCAAGGTCTTCTTCAGTTTTTATCGAATGTCAAACAATTCTCCGGCATGGACAAACTTTTTCAAACCTTTCTCGCGCATCTGACAACGGCTCAATGAGTTTTTCACAGCCTCGTACAGTCAACACATCACACCTTTGAATTATTTGATAATCTCGAGATGATTCTTTCTTCTTGGAAACTTTTATTTGCTTTACATCTTCAATTATGGAATCATACTTTGGTTTGTTATTAAAACACTACGTATTATATTTTAAATCTTCGCTAAAGAGGTTTGCGAAGAATCTTTTCTTGATTTTACTCACCAATTCGGTGCTTGCTTGCATTCTAGGATTTAAATTTATCTACGTAAAAAGAAGGAGTGGGGAAAGGAAGTGAAAGAAACAAACTTTTGAACTTTAACGATACGGAAGCCGTTAATGTGCAGATTACCTAGATACTCTGCAAATTACCTAGGTAATTTGAGAAATTGAACAATTTTCGCAGCTTTAACGGATCACCCTAGTTAATCTGCAGATTAGCTAGGTAATGAATGTACACATTAACGGATTTCGAGCTTTAGCGGTAACATATATAAAAAGTATGAAACTTTACTGACAGAACGTTAGGCAGGCATCGTGGGGCCTGGCGTTATGTATAATTAGACGTAGTTTGTTTATTTCTCGTGCTGCTTTGCCTTTTACTCGCTAGCTAATGCCTCGATTGTCATCCTGGCCGAACCCACAACGGGTATAGGAAAAGGGGCTTTTGGTATTCGCAGAGAAGAGGGAAAAGTATTGACGGGATTATCCAACGAAAGATTTACTAACGAAAAATTTAAATAAGTTATGATTGAATTTTAAAGATTTTGTGTATTAGGGGGCTGTACGTGGAGTCTTAATTCAAACTTGAGGGGATTCCACGAAGCTATAACGCGCCATTGTTGACGAGTGCCTCAATTTTGCAATAATTGGAATTTCAGTCAATTCTCCCTTCGGTCAGCCGGCGGTAAACACAGGAAAGTTAAATGAAATTTTTAAAATACGGCAACGAGTTGCAGAAGTTTCCCGGCGATCTTTAAAAGTTTGCTGTCGCCATCTGTTATGATATTTTATTTAAAAAGCTTTTTATATTACAAAATGGTAAAAAGCTTAATTAGGAGGAAGGAGACGAGTTTTATTTTTAAAAATTGTAAATGCTAATAACGAATAAAGTCTTTATTCAGTCTGACCCTACTCGAGATACGGCACGTGATTCTCTCTATCTCCTCATCCCCTCGACCTTTAACAACCAAAATTCAATAGTATCAATCCCCCTAATACATAAACCTTCCTGCGAAATTTTAGAAATTTTTGACAAAAGGCACAAGAGTTATTAAGGTTCGAAGTGGATGAACGAAATCGTGCCCTTCTAATATCTAACATTAAATATATTAATTAAAATATTTTATTTCGAAAACACATGATAAAAGATTGGCCATTTACTAGAATGGATAAATAAGATTGATTGATAGATTAGAAAGGAAGAGTTTTTCAGATAGAAATTGCGTGTAACGAGATAAGGAAAAGGATAAATATCTATGAGAAGGTGAAAATGGTGATTGAGGTAGGACGGGGGCAAGATTAAGGGGAAGTTAGTAGATAACATGGTGAGGAAATCGGTGGTTAGTAGAGATAGGAAAGCACAAAAGGGAGCTAAGCTTTATACGTGTGAAAGATTTCAGTTGTTTCTCTAAACATATCTACTTACCTTCAATAATTTTATTTTATTCTGTAGTTCTATTATTATTATTATTATTATAAATTTAANCGTGACCACATTCGATCGCATTTAAAGAGTAAACACAGAAAAAATATTTTTAAATATAACGAATCTTTGAAAATTTCGTATTTTTCTTAATTATTTCTTAAAATAAAATACTGTTATGGCCATTATCAAAAGCGAGTTTGCCTCTTTCGTTACAACCCGTAATTTCAAATAATCTTTTTTTCATTTAAGTGTTGTTTGAATGTTTTAATTATATCTGAAGTCGGAATGAGCTGAAAAATTTCCCGTATTTTATGCATTTTACATTAAAAAACTGTGTAAAACTTACTCCTAGTTTTTTCTCAAGAAAGACGTCCCCTTTAGCAAATTGAATATATATTTTTAAGCTGCAATTTACAAATTGCAGACGTATACATTTCCACTGCCAGGTGTCTGTCTGTCTATTGTCTGAGTGCGTGTCTGCCTGTACTTCGTTAATCTCTAAAAGGTAGATAGATAGATGTAAATTAAGACCAAATGTGGAAAGGTTAGGAGCCAGAGACCCGATCGGAAAGTTCGAATATAATCAATCGAAGATATGTCCTTCCCTAAATGAGTTCGATAGATGACCGGCACGACTGTATCGCTAATGGAAAAGTATGATGAACAGGGGCAAGACTGTACTAATTTAAGGTGAAGATCCCTGGTTCCCCAGAGCGCCAGGCTCCGCCACCAGGCCTTAAATGTGTTAGTGTGATGGTTCGGATCAGACACGCCAACGACGTTTTTACCCTTATCTACTTTCGTTCTCTCATTATCGCGAATTTATTTTAAGTCCCGAGACAAAATATTTATAAATTTTAATTAAACTTATTACCGAATTAGCGTAAAAATCTATTTTATAAACAATTATAATAATTATTTACCGGTAAATTAATATTGGATGAATTTAATTATTTTAATTTTCTCTTGTATTATTTCATTTAATTACAATATACCGTCTATATATATATATATATATATATATATATATATATATATATATATATATATATATATATATATATATATATATATATATATATATATATATATATATATATATATATATATATATATATATATATATATATATATATATATATATATATATATATATATATATATATATATATATATATATATATATATATATATATATATATATATATATATATATATATATATATATATATATATATATATATATATATATATATATATATATATATATATATATATATATATATATATATATATATATATATATATATATATATATATATATATATATATATATATATATATATATATATATATATATATATATATATATATATATATATATATATATATATATATATATATATATAAAAGTATAATTAAATACACAACGGAGCACGTAATTAAAGTTAGTATCGTATAAAAGTCATAATTTGAGGCAGATCGCCCACGAAAGACGTCGAGTTACCGTGTCAATCTACGATTAACTTTTTGCCCCGGTACATCGAATGGCCCTTTATTCTATAATTACACGCCGCCGTTTAAGGCCTCGTGTAATATGTTCAGAGCTTAGATCTTGACCGTTATATATATTTAAGTATTTATATTTGGTGGAGGAAGAACTTGTTATACGTCGTAGGATTAATAGAATAATGCAGCAAAAGAGCCTTTCACTCTACTTACTATGGATTCGGTTAGGCCTACAACGAGGACGATGGACAGGGCCACACGTAAGATAAACAAACTGCACCTATAGACACCATCATATATTTTACTTCATTATCTGATGAAAAAGAATCTTTTATATGTGATAGAATTAATGGAATAAGAGCGCGCAACACTCGGGTCATCTGTTAAGAGGAGAGGTGCCACCCGAGAGAACTTTCTATGGGAATCTGGCTCCTATTTATGTGTTAAATACGTGAATAAAACCGAGGAAACTTCACATATCCGGCACGTCGGTCAGGGGCAAACCTACGAACAATGTTCGGTGGTTTGATCTATTAGGGCACCGGTCCCGTTAAACTTAAATGTATATTCCTCTGTAAAAATAAGTTTCGTACAACGTAAAAAAAGATTTTGTTACACGTCCAAATTTTAAACAACTCTTTTATATTTTAAACACGTCTGCAAAAATATTTTGAACAATTCGTTTTCGAATTTCTTTGTTTTCTGTGTCGACAAAAGTCTTCTAATTTCGGATTGAAATATTATCTCAGTTGACGTGTTTACAGCCTCAAATTGCAAAATATGTAAATTTAAATAAGCATTCACACGATTGGACGTTTCAACATTCCCACGCGCGAGATCATCGACTTCGATCGACGTCCAGATGTCCCGCAACCAATGAAATTACGACGAATCGCACATTTCTCTTATAAAAGGAAGCACCAATTGCGTGTAGTCAACATACACAAAGTTAAAACCCACAGAAAACACCAGAACAATTCAACATAAGTAATAAGCGAAGATGAACAAGTTCCTTTTTACCATCATCATTGTCGGTAAGTAAAGTTTATAAAGTATCTTTTGACGCACTTTATAATGATTTTGTATAATTGAACCTGCAATGACGGCCACCTTCCAGCAACGGCCATCTCCGAACTGTGGCCGTTTTCACCAGGAACCTGTTTTGGAACAAGGATGTGTGCTTACAGAATAGTCCGCAAACTCTGCCATTGCTTTAATAATTTTTAAACTGGCCGTTGTTCAGAAGTTTAATTGTATTTTTTTAAGTAACTCAATGGCAAAATATATTAATTTTTTCCAGGAGTTGTTTTCTTAGAAAGTAGCGAGGCACGACACAAGAAAACTGGACAAAGTGATCAATCCAGGTTGGTTGATTTGTTGTTCTGGTGGTTGTTCAACGTAGATGAAGATTCAAAGCCTATAAAGATGCCAGTAGATACGGATGTAGACACAGACCTTGGCTTAGGCTCAGATCTCAGCGAGGAGCGTGATCAGTTAGATTCGGTCAAAGGTCGAGCCGATACTACAATTTTTACTGGTTTCCCAGGAAGAGCCTTTAACAAAGAGAATATAAGAAAATCACGAAAGCAATGAGTAGATTGGTTAATCAGAATTAAAAAGGTCAGTTTCATTAAACGGAAAAATGTATTAAATTATTACGGAATGAAATCAGTTTATTTTTAATTGGGCTGCAATTAAAAAAATGTATATCTGTAAATACCATTGTCGTCCTTGTGTCCGTCTGTCCGTCTTTCCTTACTGTCCAGAACGGAGTTACATGGATGAAACACCAGACGACATACGGAAAGCCAAGGGGCAAGAAAGGAAAAGTGTGATGTACGGGGGTAAGCCACTACTAAGATGAAGTGAAGATCATATGTTTTAAGTGAAATAAATTAAAAATTTGATTAAAAATTGCAGCCCGGCATTGTGACCACGTCACAATAAATAACTGCTCGTTATTTATAAAATAATTGCTATTTATTTTCCTTTACAAGTATAAACAGCTCTAATATATACTAGAGCTGTTTATTATAATATATATTTGAATTTCTAATTATTTTAATAACCTTTAATTTTTGTTTTGTAGAAAACAGCTAAAATATTAATTAATTAATTAAAATAATCAATTGCCTTTGAATATTAATTCTTATTTATAATATTTTTTATTAAAATTATGTCTTTTTCTTTGTAGTTGGCCTTTAATTGACGAACCTAACAGTCAAGCTTCGGTTTTCACTTTTATAATATAATAAATGTTATTTGTTGGATGTTGTTTAAAAATTGTAACTGCAATACGAAATCATTAATAAAGAGTTTTGGCTGGTGAAAATATTATTTGTTCCGTTTATGTTTATGTTTAGGTTGACGATGCAACGCCACAAATGGACGATCTGTCAAGGGGGAAGCCTCCCGAGATCTTTTATGGGAAACTGTCCCTTATTTAGGTTTTACTTACGTATAGAAAACCCCGAATTCTCCACGTGGCCATTTGTTGGGCGCTAAACCAACCACCATCGACTACCGGTGTTTGGTGGTTATATTAATTTAACCCGGCCACTGTGGGTTTATATTTGTACGGAGTTATCGAGTCTCGAGTTGGCCACAAATTGGCCGCAAAATCTGTAATATTGGATTTATGGAATAAGGCAACGCTACACTTGGCCATCTGTCGAGGGGTGTCTCCGCGAGGACTGCCCCTATTTAGGTATTGAACACGTAAAGAACATCCAGCAGTGGCCACGTGGTCATCCTCTGATCGGGAGCAAACTCACTAACAGCGTTTTCTGCTTTTATTCATTTGGTCGCTAATGTAAGGAAATTCACTTGCGTTCCACTATTTTTTTTTCTACAAAAAGCTTAAATTAATAGAACAATTTATTAAACTCCCTCCCCCATTCTGCTCTTAAATTAATTTTGGAGAAGACGTCGAAGAATCTTTAACGTCTCGGATTCAAATTCTTACTTTAATTTCCGTTATTAATCGACGCAAAGTCGAGTAACGTTACGCGGAATTAACCTTAGCACAGATAATTTACATACAAAATTGCCGATTGGTGCAAGATGATCCGATGCCTTCTACATAAACATTGAAAATGTCAACGTAACCTTTTGCTTTTAAGTGAATTATACTAGAAGTAACTACAGGCTAATAATTAAAATAATTTATTGTCGAAACCGAACGAAAGGAAATAGCACCCACCCACATCGGGAAAGTGGATTTACGTGTGCCAGTACTTTCTTATGGGAAAAGTATCGTTACGCGAAGAAACCGTAAGTAGAACGTGGCAAAAAGGAGGTTCATTGCGATATATGTTTGAATTTATTTCAAAGACTATTTTTAATTAATTAGATAAACGTTTTATGCACATCATTTCTAAATTACCGATAGACTTATACGCAAATTTTCACTGTAATGGCTCCGTCTTACTTCGATGTAGTAAGAAACTTTTTGAAAAAGCGTAATGTAAAAGTATGTAATTTAAAATTCACGAAATTTTAGAATAAGAACGAAACCCCGTGACAAGTTCTATTTACTAATAGATTACTAATTTATTATTATTTATTCTACGAAAGACAAATAACTCCAATCTTTACATATTGTCTTCAGAATCACAGTTGTGACAATCTGTACATAGCTCGTGAGACCAAACTCTCGCCGCAAACCAAACAGAAGGTCTTTTCTTTCTCTTCCGATGAGTCAGTTGCTCCGTTCGATGTGTGACCGTTTTGATTACATAGGCGATATTTGCACCGTGACAGCTATCTCCGGTCTACCCTATATCATAATTATGCCGAAATATAAGTCTATTTTAATGATTAAACTTATAATTAAGTAGGCTATTATATATAATACGTTATAATACTATGGTCACAGTTAAACCAAATAATTCCACTCAAATCGTTTTCTGTCAAATGATCAGAGAAAACATAAGAATCGGAATTGAATTTGTTTTTCTTTTACAATTACGCATCCATTTTCTTCTTATTGTCGGACCTTTAGGAAATAGAAAATAACTGACTTTCCCGTTTAATAGAGAGTGTGCGGCCGAAGTTTTCATCTGTAAAACGTGAACGTCGTACGTCGATTATACGTTAAACTTGTACGAAATTTATTTCTGTAGCATTCGTGAAATATTTTGTTACAATTCTTATTTCTAAACAATGTTTTTACGTTTTAATCGTACGTACAAAAAATTTTTAACAATTCGCTTCCTCACTTTCTGATTTCTGTGTCGGCCAAAGTCTTCTATTTTCTCACAAATACGGACAGAAATATTCTGTCAGTAGACACGTTTACGGCCTCGAATCGGGTCAGTTACCGAAGTAAAATATGTAAATTTAAATAAACTTTCACGCCGTTGGACGTTCTAATATTCCCACGCGCGACATCATCCAATTTGATCCACGTCCAGCTGCCCCGTAACCAATGAATTGCATATTTTTTTTTACATAAAAATGTAACAACTGCACACAGGGCCGAAACCTTCGGGAAACACCAGAACGAGTGTGAACTCTACAAAGAGAAGATGAACAAGTTGCTATTTACATTCGTCGTTATCGGTAAGTAAACTTGATAGAGTATGTATTGACGCACTTTAAATGATTTTGTATAGTCCAACTCGCAATAACGGCCATTTTTTAAAAGTTGTTTTTTTTCCAAAACACTTTTTGAAACGATAATGGGAATAAAATAAATTTGGTAAATCTTCCATTTTCTAACGTCCCTTCAGTGGCCGTTAATCAGATGTTTAACTGTATTTTTAGTAGCTCGATGATTAAAGTCTTTCAAGATACGCCGGAGTGACCCACTAGCGCGAATGCGTGATCCGACCATCAGACACGAGCAATTTTTCGGGATTTTTTCACGTCGCAACTATATAAAAAGGGGCCAGTTTCCCCATGCGATATCTTTTGAAAGTACTTTATTTCACGTTGTTTGGGAAATTGGTACCTAGATTGGTGCCAATTTCCCGTGCAATGTCTTCCCGAGAGTCATCTCCCCTTCGTTTTCGTCAATCCAGAAGAGGGGTTGCGAATTTAAGCCAACCCGAAATGCATATGAATTAGGAATTTTTTTAAATAAAACGTACGTTTTCTAACCAATTGCTGTCCGTTCGTCTACCAACTCGATAAGCCTATGCATATGTTTTTCCAGAATGTATGTTGGTCCTTTACACTTCTCTACTAGAATAGAAACCTTAGGGTGAGGATTAAGGAGCACCTATACGATGTCGCAAAAAACAAGTGTACAACAGCATTATCCAAAATGGCGCAAGCAGATGGTTCGGTTGTTAAGTGGGAGGATGCCAAAATTCTTACAAAAGTACGCTCGCCAACGTTGTCATGCATAACTGAGAAATGCGAAATTTACAGAGCGAGTTTGGCTGACAGATGTTTAAATTATAAAGATGCGACGGTATTACCGTCATCCTGGAAATACATAATAAGAAGTAACACGCGTAATAATGCGTCTGCCGTGACTCAATAGATATCTGGGTTGATGTATAAGGAATTGTTCCTTAGTGTTTGCGGCCAATCACCGTATTTTATTTTTCATTTTTTTGTGTTATTTTAATTTTTTATTATTTATTGTTTTAGTTTGGTTATGCTTATTCTATTGGTTTAATTTAAACGTATGTTCTAATTTGGTTTAATTTTGAACGTGTTCGATTTTGTATTAGAGTCGAACAACGGTAATCTGAAGATGGCCCATAAATTGGGCCGAAAACGTTAGTTTTGTGTAATAAATATATGTTTCTCAGCAATAAGGTGTGTTGGATGTATTTAAGAGGCTGAGTCTGAGTAAGCGAAACGAAACATTTGTCTTTAATTAAAAAGATTTATTAAAAATTATACATTTGCAACATTTTCATACGCACAATCTGTTATTGAATGTTTTCCTTTTGGAAGTACATTTCTGAATTGAGCGTTAGTCATGATTCCATGTGTGAGAGCCGCGCAAGTAGAATTTATAAATTTCATGAATTTTTAGACAGTACCACGCAGTTAACTGTAGTTGGTTCTCATCTCCTCTGTGGCTTTCAATTCGTACAAATCTGTCAAATACAGTACAAAATATTTTTATTTACAACTGAATGAGCTGTTAATATTCACGAGAACAATTATTTTAAGGTATATTAATTAAATACAGCATTTTTAAAATTTAAGAACAGAATTTACTTACTCTTCATATTTTTCAATTCCAACTTCTCAATTTCGCAGGCAAATCCTTGTACAGGTACAGTACTTTCTCCAAATGTTCACGTAATCGAAAGAAAGTAGAAAATCCTTCGGAACATGAAGTCTCGCGACAGAATATAGACTTTTCCTCCATCGGGATTTGCTTATGTTCTAAATCCCATGCATGTTAGTAAGATTTCCTTTTGAGAAGTGCTTATCGCAATAACAACGAGTATTTTCTAATATATCCAACGCAATATTATTCATGAAGATTTCTTAGCAACGTAGCAGGAATACTTCGCAACCAATTATCGATGATAAAGTATGGTTTTAAAGTTAAAATAGCGACAAAAAATTCCAAGCACAACGTACAGTACGAGGTTGATGCTATCTGAACGTCACGACACTAGCGGCATCTCGTGATAAAAACCAAA